CCTTGAGCCTGGTCATTTGGGGCAGAAAAATAAACTATGGTAGTAGTGGTGAAGCTGTGGTCAGTAGGGGTGTTTAGGTGCTCCGCTCGATTTAGCCCCAAACCTTTGGGCCTTTTTCTGTCACGCTCCATTGCTTCAGTTCTTCTTTCCTGCGAGGCATCCAGGAAATGGATATGATGTCATGCATGAGCAGCCATAGATGACAGTGGTCTAAAAGTCAAACGTCGACAAACAGATATAGACACAAACACACAGAGAAGGTCAGGAAGGACAGCGAACAAGCGAGACAGGCTTAAAAAAAAGAAAGAAAGAAAGAGGGAAGCTGAAAAGATCTTCTCAAGGCGTACATGACTATGAAGTATGAATTATAGATCAAACCTCGGAGAGGTAGAACACTCTTTCCTCCACTATCCCTTTCATTCCTCTCTGCCTTTTCTCTCTGTGTGCTTGTTCTGCTACCTCGCTCTCCAAAGCTGGGCTTGTTTTGCATCCTGGATCATCCTCATGATAATGTAATGCATCAAAAGTGATTTGTGTTTCAGCATCTGTGACTTTGTCTCTGTTCTTTGCGGCTGTGAAAAATAAGATTGCGGAGGAATCAAAGATCAAACGCAACGTCTCATCGGTTCTGTCTCTGTCTCTGCCCCCTCTCGCTCCTCCCTCGCTCTGCTCTTTCTGCCTTTCCTTTCTCATCTTCCTCATTTATTTATATCTTCCTACATTCTTTTTATCCTACTTGAGCAACAAATAGCTGCTCAAGATATGGGAATAAAGGGTCAGATGGTCCAAACATTAATTTATGTGGATGTATATGTATAGACATTATATGTTGTGGAAGGACACTTGCAAAGAGTGAACAAGCAACATTTTGTTCAGCGTTGCTTTTAGCAGGTTCCCCTTATGGCCACTGAGGAATGATCTGTTCCACTCACACATACTCACGATAAAGCTCTCGGAGGAGCCTCATATGTCTGTAGTTGTGTTTGTCTCATCTCTAAGCCCTGTGTGAAGTGGAGAGGAAAGAGTGTTTTGCTCACAGACCCAACTTCTCCGCACCACACTGACTGTCCTCCGGGGAACTGGCCTGGCCATGGAAGACTGGAACAGGGAAGACTGATGGGGAGAGAGCGATACGGGGAGAGATGAAAAAGAGAAAACTGGAGGAAATTAAGACACCGTAACAAATATCAGGGCTTGTGGAGGGATTGGAGGAGTTGAGAGACAAGAAGAGATAGAGGGAGGGGTAGAGTAGAGAGATCAGGAGAAACATCAGAGGAGGAAGATAAAGAGCAAAAAGCAGGTGCAGACAGAACAAGGACTTTTTGAGATTCTTGTCTACTTTGGTTGTATGTGTCCGGTGGACCTTTTTCACAGCATTCAGTTTGACTCATCATAGTAGGAAAAGCACAGGTGAAAGTGATAACATCAACAATGGCTCAGTTCCAATCAGCATCTCACTTAGCCAGCCTGCACGATACCAGGGCCTCCCCTAAGTGGAATGCAGCCATCGTTAATGTTATTGAATACACCTGTGCTTTTCCTACTATGGAAAAGGTATATTGAGTAATGAGCTGCTGCCTGAGTAAATCAGGCTAATTACACACAGACTGTGAGCACAATTGAATAAAAGGCACACTGCAAATTTGCCCCCATACTCTCATATGCATACATCTGCCTCTTTGTTTTGGCATGTCAGTTCAACGGTTACATATATTATTCACAGGTGACACAATTCACACTGACAGCGTAATTTGCAGCCAGCAGCACAAGGGTTTCCAGTAAATACATTTACATTTGGCCTGACAGTGGCCCGGCTCCCGGTCTCATGTTGGTAATAGAAAAGATACGGATCCTCTCCAATTCCTACACCTGTCTTGGGCAAAGTTTATTGGATGCTGTTCGAATTCAGGGTATTATCGCTGGGGCTATTGAAGCAGAAGAGACACGTTGATTTGATGCGAATGCCAACAGCCTCCTATTATTTTACCATTGGGCTTAATTGCTGCTGTCAATCATAAGTGTGCTTCCATGGCAACAGTGAGGATCAATACTCAACGAGCATGCACGTTGAGTAACCCATATTCTGTGTTATATGAGGGAATGGGTCTGATGAAGTATGATGTGTGTGTGTGTGTGTGTGTAGATTTACACTGTATGGGATGGAAGATCTTGTCCTTCAAAAAAACGAGATGGATTATGTTAAATGTATTTTATGTATAAAAATCACACATTTCTGGCTTAGATATTCTATTAGGCTAAAGTGCAGTTTTTCCAACAAGAGGTTTGGAAAAAACACTGTGAAATGGTTTGTCGGCCTCTGCACTTTAGCTCTGTGTGATCCTCTCAGCAGAATTAATTCTTAGGCCATCACACAGGCATGGAGAAATCCCTCCTTACTCACTCTTTTAATTCTCCCAATGATGTGTACAGATGTATTGTACATGGTTTAGATCTGGGAAAGCTATCTTACAGACCTTTCTTACAGTCAGTGGTTACAGTGTGCCAATAAATGATGTTCAATGTTTAATTAACTCCTGTTGTATCACTTGTTAGTAACTCCATTTCTGTCCTCTTTTATGGCAGTAATTTAAAAACACGATGAGGCTTATGATGAAAGGAGGATTTGTTTTATCGGATGTATTTCTGGATAAGTAGGGCAGTCAGACACCTGCAGCTACCCTTGTGCCACCTGTTCACCTGTTACTTCTGCTGCTGTGACCTACTCACATTAGAAGTCAGTATTTACTCCACAAATGCTGGTCGGTAAAAATAGCTGCCATGAAAAGAAGCTTCATAATGTGAATAAAAGAGCTTATTATCGTGTCAAAAATGCAGACAAAAATGTTTTACGTGAAGATATTTTTGTATAAAAATACAAAAACAATTTGCTTGCATGCATATAATTGAAGTCTGAACTTGCATGGACACATTAAAGACAAATATATCTCCTCATTTTACAAATCTTACAACGCAGCAGCAGTGAAGGAAAAAGTTTGATCCGTCCTACATCTTCACAGTTACAAATGGTTATGAGTCATGCTCTTTCCCTTTGAGACAGGTGTTCTGCATGTCCCACATTCCTAATTATATAATCATATCCCCAAACGAGCATACACACAGACCTACTGTGCTTCCTGCCTCACTCATGTGAACCCTCTGGGTTTCCCTATGTGGAGCACCAAATGAGATCATGTCTCATGTCGAGGGGATTAGCCTCAGACAACAGAGCCAGAGCTATCAATTGCCAGGGAGTGTCCCAATACATGCGTGTGTAGAGCTGTATAGAGACTAGAACAGGAATAGTAAAATCTATAACGTGTGCAGATAGTATGTGCCCATGTCGGGGTAAAGATTTAAAATCGTGTCCCAGCTAAACTAGCAAATGTATTTTATTGCTCATAGACGTGCTGCTCACATCTGCCCTTAACAGCTAAAAAGAGAACAACTATTTGAAATTTGCCCGATTGTTTAGCCAAGAAAAATCAACCATGATTGGGATGCTTGTTGTGCTATGGCTTATAGCACAAAGCTGACTAAGTGGTCCTTTCAGCACAGTGAGGGACACATTTGTGTTCAAAGCAAATAGATTACTAAACACAGCTGAAGCTGGCGTGAGTGATTGAACCTCATGCTTCTTTATATCAATCTGTCGAACTCATTGACAAACAAATGTGTTTTATCTCCTTTGATCTGTTTCTGCCTAATAACAGGGGACAGGTAACCTAGCAGGTAGATTGTTCTTTACAATAGTGTGCCATTTGACACATGCTTAAAGTATTACAACTGTCTGTAGTAATAAGAAGATTGAAACAGAGGATGGACCTGATTCTCTGCTGGCCCCTCGGGGGAGCGTGCACCGGAATAGACTGGAATGAGTTCAATTCTCTCTCGGAATTAGAAAGAAGTCTGAATTTGGAGCACGAGTAAGAAATCTAGCCTGTTCCTCTGAGAAGGAGAGGTTTTCTTTGTTGTTTTCATGGAATGATGATGGAAATCGAGAGAATGTAAACCAGAGGGAATGTGGGCTGAAAGACGGAAGATGAGAGAGTGCTACACATAGATGGACAAAATGTATCATATCATAAATAGCATAGCATTCTTGTGCTGTTCAGAAGCCATCTTGATAGCTTTAGCTCGTATGTCTCTACAAGTATATCTTAGCATACATGAGTACTCCTAAATTAGGACATGCATGTGTTTGAGTGCGTATACGTCTGTCTGAGGCCATGTGTGCATTTCAGTGGGCATGTTTGTGTAATGTGTGTGTAATTGTAAGTATGTTTCCCCCAGCTGCTGAGCCGGCAGGAGGACAATGTCTGTCATGATGCAACAGGCAGCTAATCCTCTCCTTATGTAAACGTTTGACTGCTATTCAAATGACATGCAGATGGGATAGAGAGCTTAGGTTTTGGCAGGGTAGTGTCATAACAAGGAATGTCTGTGGAGACAATGTGCTGTCAGCTTTTGGGTGATTAATGCTGCACTTTGCTTTTAAAAAGAAGTTATGGTCCCCTGAGGACTGCGGAGAGATTGGCAGGAGTGTGCATGTAGGTATCAGCCAAAGCTTGATGACCTCATAGCCTTACTAGGTGGGGGACCAAGGGGGGGGGGGGGGGGGGGGGATGACTAAGTGCAGATGCAGCAGACTAAAAGGGGAGCTGTTGGGGCAATGTAGCATGTGTATATTAACATAATGAGAAAGAACACCAGCGGAGGAAAAAGTGTGGAACAAGCCTTGAAGAAAATTGAGATTGATTTTGGGATGCCTGCAGGTTCCATGAAGAGAATAATTCTAAGACAATGAAATGTTACAGGAATTTGGTGGAGTCTCAAGTCATTTAACATTCATTTAGATTCAAGATTCAAAATTGTTTATTCGTGCATCCTTCAGTACATTCGTGCAAAAAGTGCAGACAATAGAGGAAAAGTACAGGCAATATATATATTTTTATAAATTGTCTTTTACAGAAAAATATCTTTTTTTGTATTCTCCTCCACAGATTTTCCGTTATTCCAAGGATCCATCCATTTGACTGAGTCACAGCTGATGCCAAAGGAGAGGCTATGAAGATGAGCTGTGTCGCTCCGCATTGCAGCCCTACAAGATATGACATAACATGGGTCCCCTGCTAATAACCATGATGACCATAAAGCTGTGACTGCAATTGTGAAGCCTTCACCCCTTTTTCAGCACCCAACCCAGACCCTACTCCTCTTTGGAAACCCTTCCTAGCAACTGTTGTTGCTTCCCTTTCTCCTGCAAACACGACCTCCTTTCCTGCCTGCACCAACGTTAATAGTTATAGCTTTCCCTCTTTCTGACTGCATCATGCAGGGTGCTTCTACCACCTCCACTCTACTATTTCTTATGCTCCCTTCCCTTCTATTTTTCTCCTTCTTTCCCCAAATGATCAATGGGGACTGCTGGCTCATTGAGGGGGACAAAGGCTATGTTTGGCTGGCTATCTGCAGTCAGAACCAGCCGCCGTACGAGACTATCCCGCAGCACATCAACAACACTGTCCATGACTTGAGATTGAATGAGAACAAGCTGAAAGCTGTGCTCTTCAGCTCCATGTATCGCTTCACCAACCTGACTGACCTCAACCTCACCAAGAATGAAATCAGCTATGTTGAGGATGGAGCCTTTGCAGGACAAGCCAACCTACAGGTGAAAGGGGAATGGATGATAACAGCTTTGAGCTTAACACAAGAATGTAGTTCACAAAGCATTAGACCTTAGACAAGGACTCTCTAGGAAAATTAAATGTTTTATTCTTTAACATGTCATTGAGGTATGTTTCAGTGGATTTAATTTGATATTGAGTAGCACTTTATTGTCTCGAAATCTTTGCTTAATGCCTTAAAAATGCATTAGAGGGAGACCATAATGAATTGATAATGAACTCTGTTATAGGAAATGCTGCAGCATGATTGAATCTCATTTATTAAGTCAGATTCAAATTTTATTATAAGTATAAATTACAAATTATGAGTAAAACTAGGCCCGCAATATCAAAAGAAAAAAATGCCCAAATGCTTCTTCTGTGTTTTTCTCAGGTTCTTCAGCTGGGCTACAACAAGTTGACAAACTTAACTGAGGGTATGATGAGAGGGCTCGGCCGCATGCAATGCCTCTTTCTCCAGCACAACCTCATTGAGGTTATTGCCAGCAATGCATTCTGGGAGTGCCCCGGTCTCAGCAGCATTGACCTGTCATCCAACAAACTTGGCCGCATTGACCCATCCACATTCACAGTTCTCAGCCGGCTGATGGTGTGTGAACTGGCAGCAAATCCATTCCATTGCGGCTGTGATCTTTACAGCTTCCTCACCTGGTTGGATTCCTTCAACAATGTAACACACACCTACGATCGCCTCCAGTGTGAGACGCCCCGGGAGATGTTTGGCTACCCCTTACTAATCGCTGCTGGCCATGCTGGTCGGAATGCGAAAAGCATTTTGTACCATCACTGCCGAGATGGAGTGATGATTCCAGGAATGACCTCTCTCCCACCAGATCTGGATGGTCCTTCCGGGATGGGACCAGAGATGTTTGGTGGTGGGCCGTACAACCAGTCCACCACCTCTTCCTCATCAACTGAACACAGCTTCATTCCCAGCATCAAGCTCCATCATTTCTCTTTGTCATCAGCCTCTCTCCTTGTGCAGATTCCAAATCCTTTCAGCAAAATGTATATTCTAACACAATACAACCACACATTTGTGTCTGACGTCATGAATTTGAAACACAAGAAGGAGATGATCACCCTCAACAAGCTCAAGCCACACACCAATTACACCTTCTGTGTAGCATCCATCCGGAACTCTCAACGTTACAACCACACCTGCCTCCAGTTTTCCACTCGGGCTCAAGATCTAGATGACATGCTCCCCACACCTTCCACCACTACTCACTACATAATGACCATTGTCGGTTGCCTTTTTGGCATGCTCATTATTTTAGGCTTTGTCTACTATTGTCTACGTAAGAAACGGATGCATGATGAGAAGAGGAAGTCCATCTGCGTCAAAAAAACTATATTGGAAATGCGATATGGACCAGAAGTGGCGGCAGCAGTGGCAAACGATCCATTGGCAGTCCACAAGCTTCAGGAGCAGTCCAGAGAGCATCACCAGTATCAGCACCACCATGGAGGCAAACTTCCCATGTCCGCATCCTCGAGTTCGGGCATGCTCCACTCAGCCAACACCAGTTCCTCGAGACTTTCATCTATCCCGCAAGTGGAAAAGATGGCCACTGCCTTTTCAGAGGCCATGGCTACAAGTAAAGGAAACTATATGGATATCAGAACTGGAGGGGCGGGGATGGAAAGGGTGGGAGATGGTGGGCATGGAGGGATGGACTTGAGGGACGATGATGGAACTGATATTGGGGATGACTCCGATGATGACGGACATGGCTCAGCATCGGAGATTTCCACCATTGCCATGGAGGTGGACAAGGTTAACCAGATCATTAACAACTGCATTGATGCACTCAAACTGGATGCAGCAGCAGTTGCTGCTTCAGGGGCCTGTACTAACTCTACAGCCTGCTCCAATCCCACCTCCCCTCCTCCCACGAGCACGTCCTCCCTTACTCGTGGCCTAATCCCACTCTCCCAAGGGGTGACAGAGACGTGCCAAGTCATTGCTCCCAACAAAATACCCCCTCCGCCTCCACTCCCTGCCTTGAATGCTCCTCTCTCTGAGCGCCCAGGGATCAGTGGCGGTGGCTTTGTCATCTCTCCCCCCTACAGGCCCCCCCCACCAGCCACTGCTGTACGTCCCATTCAGCGGCAAATGAGTGCAGATGCAGCTGTGGTTATTGTAAATGCTGTGAAGAAACAGTGCAGCACCACGTCTTGTGGCTCTATGGGTCGGGACAGGGACCGCGGAGGAGCTAGGGTGTATAGCCTGGATGTTCCTGAGCCTCGGAGCCCAGATGCCTGTAATCAACAACAGCAGCAGTACCCAGACAGGGCCAGTCCTGTGGGCTGTGGGGAGCCCCTGGAGAGGCTGCCTTTAGTGAGGAGTGGGAGCTACTGTGGAGGGGGTGGTGGTGGTTGCGACAGTGGTGGTGTTGGTGCCCAACATCAGGACAGCCAGAAGCAACACCACTACCATCAACAGCAGCAATTACAACAACTACAACAACAACAACAACAACAACAACAACAGCAGCAGCAGCAGCAGCAGCAGCAGCAGCAGCAGCAGCAGCAGCAGCAGCAGCAACTGGAGGTGCAGCAGGACTACCACTGCTCGGAGCACCGCCACTCCGTCCCAGCTCTATATTATGAAGGCTCCCACCAAGGTTCCCCAGCCCAGAAGGTTTCCTTCCTGAAGCCCCTGACGCGCTCTCGCAGGGATGCAGCATCTTACTCCCAGCTTTCGCCTGCCCGCCACCATTCCAGTTACTCTGGCTACTCCTCCAGCCCTGAGTACTCCTCTGAGAGCTCACTGCGGATCTGGGAGCGCTTTCGTCCCTACCGGAAAGGCCAGCGCGATGAGGCCTGTTATGTGACGGCCGGAAATGCCCTTAGAAAAAAGGTGCAGTTCGCTAAAGGCGAGGACCTGCATGACATCCTTGATTACTGGAAGGGGGTGTCAGCACAGCAGAAGCTGTGACTGGGAGACCAGAGATAGGCTTTTTGGGAAAAAGAGTTTTGGAGACTATTTCCTGTTAGGCCTGTGGGCCAGAGAAACGATTTGAAGATCACGGGGAGAAAAATCGAGGACAAAATTTTGCCTTTGGGTTTTTTTGTTTTTTGGCATGCTAGGTGTATAGAATATTGTGCTAAAGCAAGGACTGCGAAACTGTGCCTGGGATATGAGCGTCATAATGGTGTTTTATTTGACACGTCATTGTAGCACCATTTCTGGATAATTCTCATTTAGTGTTTATGTTTTTTATTTACAGTATAGCACAGGCAGCAGATGCCAACTGTGTAATTTAGTACTGTTTGAGTGATCATGTTTTGTGATCATATAAACCGTCTTTATCAGTGCCATGTTTTCATCTATGGGTAATCAAAGCAAGTAGATACTGATATCCTTCATTTGAAGCTTGTGTGATCCAATATCTTGTTTCCTATTTGGTATTGGGTGCTCTTGACTATGCTAAGACTAACTGAAGGGAGACTGACGGGTGAGATCTATGCTCTGTTTCAAGTGACAACATACCGTTTAGAGAACAGAGTTGTCAAATGCAGAACCTATCTCTCTTCCATGATGTCATTCATGCAGCTGAGGTATTTGCATGTCAATAACGTCTGTCACAGCAAGAAAAGAAAATCTGGAAAGAAGTGAACAAATGAACAATGAGTATACAGTCAAGTGGGCTTGAAGGTCCAGCAGCATAAGGAAATCATGAGAGAACGATTAAAGTAAAATAGTGCTGCGATTGCACCCTGAAGTGTTCAACACATCTTTTCAACTAACACTCTTGCATGTTCAATGAGTGATGTAAAGAATGTTGTCCAAGCATTAACCCAAGTAAATATCAGAAATGTGAACGTAATTTGAAGGAGTACACGGGGCAAAATATTGCTCCTTTATGAAGGTAATTAGATGCTACTTACGTGTACAATAGGGAAATAAGCTCCCATTACAAAAAGGCACGACCCATATCTGACAAGAGAACCAAGATAATTTGAAAGCAAGAGGGGGTATAAAAGAAAAAGCAAGCAAGGATATAAGTCATTTTTCTGCAGCCACTGTGAATGTAAGTAGATTACAAGCAGGTTATGGGGAAATCTCTTTATATCATTCAACGTGAGCACCACGGTACATTCCAAAACCTTTCTCCAACATTAAAACGGAACGAGGCACAGAGGGAAAGGACACTTCTAATTACTGCCAACATGTCTGTTCTGTTCTGGAAATTGATGCTATTGTTGTCTATTGATAACCTAATTAGCCAAATCGTGACAGGCATGTTTGCTTGCACTTTACGCCTCATGGTTATGTGTGTGTGTGTGGCTGTGTGGTACACAGTGGTCAGTGTAAGTGGGTGTTGGCATGCCTTGTCAGATTATATTGTATGTGCCCAATTTGACTTTAATTAATAGCTGTCATATCTTGCCAATTGGCTGGTTGTTTGAGTCTAAACGATACTAGATTATTAATGGCATGGACAAATGTACAAGTATCAACAATGTTCGTTGTATTTGCCCAGACATACATCACATGACCGTGATGCTATACCACAGTAGTGCAGTGCCTCTTGCTAACACAGCCATGATCCAATCTCCATCGTTGTATAGTATTATACATCCACCTGGCTTTTTCTATTCAAATGATCTACTCGTGATTTTCCTAAACGATAATGTCATTGCCCGGCATTCTGGCAAAAGGCTTCCTGCTTACCCAAAGTGCTGTGCAGCCTTTACATTTTTTTGCATAATCAGCTAACATACACAATCTGAGACCCTAAAAATGTGAAAACTGAATCAGTGTTCCTTGCTCCACATTTTTTTGTTCAGGGTTATATTCCAGAGAAAATGAGACATGGTGACAAATTTAATTTGGGAACATTTTTATCTTTCTTTCGATCCTCACTTCTTTTCTGTGTATGATGTTGAGTTGGCGCACCTCCCACTGCCTTCCCTGCTCTCACAGCTCCAATGGGTTATGGGTGCAGCATGAGACATGAACATGTCCTGTTGCATTTTATTAAATGACAAAAGTGAGAAATTGCCTTTCTTGCAGGGAGGGCTTCGGGTTGTGCAACACACATCAACACTTCTTTTCCTCTTTCTCAGAGCAGTTGATTTTTTTTTGCATGCACTGTGCATACGGTGTGCAAATATGAGAGGGTTGTGTTTCATGCCTCGGACATATTCTCCGTGTTTAGTCGCACGAGGCAGTTCCATTCAAACTACAATTGAGAGTCTGTGCCGGTCTGGCTCTCCACACGTGCGCATTTCCTGATCCTTCCTTCATTCCAGTTGGTAGAGTTTTAATGCACCATAAAGAAGTTTACCAGGAGTTCAACGGCATTCGGCTGTCTTTGTATTTCTTGAAAGGTCTGTTTGTTTAAATGTGGGTAATGGCAAAACTCCTTGCAAAAACTCTTAAAAACAAGCATCTCATTTTATTATCTTCTTCTTGGCAAATTAGCTAGAAGTGCTCAGCCACCAACTGGACTGGAGTGTGGAAACAAAACTGGAGCATGCACCGTCTGCGCACATGCTATTCATACAGTCCATGCGGTCACAACTTTCTGACTGCATGCAGATGTTCACATAGGGTCCGCATGGACCCCAACGGACATGGGTGGATGACGGTATTTACATCACGCATGCCAAAGCGGACCCATGCAGAAAGTATGAATTGACCTTATTGGTATCTCCATATTGATCTGTGTGTTTCCTCCTCCCTCTTTGTTTTCAGTTATCTCCGTCTCATTTTCCTTGTTTTATAAAGATGTTTGCATACAGTCAGGGTCAATTACCCTTGGAGACAGTGTTCTCCTGTGAATGGACCGCATTAATTCAGCAGCCTCACTGTCACCATTTAGTAAAAGCTGGGATGCACCTCCTCTCCTTCCGTATATGATAAAGCACCATGTGATGAACGTACAGCCTTGGAAATGTCTCCCGCTGATCTCTTGTTAGCTGATATGAGACGTTTTCCAAAGATTTTCTTTGCTGGTACGTTCTGTAAGAGTACCTGATCCCGCAGAAGGAACGTGGTGTGTTTAACTCCCCAGATCATCAACTGCCATAACAAGTTTACAGAAATAGACACTGAGGATAAGTGTAACAGCAGTAATATTGGGATTGCGCATCATTTCAGTTGCCATTCATGTTTATCTATCTGACAAGATGTAATGTGACAGAAAATCCTGATTATTACTGTTTTCATGGATGATTTTTTAACTCGTACATTCTCTATTTCAACACTTCACACACCATTGTGTTTTTCAGGAGATAGATTTTCAGGGGGACGGATGTATGTTCAAGTGCTCTTCTGCTCAAATTTCATTCACACATTTGTTTGAATGAAATTCTAATGATGATACAGCATTACTGGCGAATCGGAGAACATCGTCAGTGCTGGTGGGAGAAGGGCCAATCTTTCTAATGATTTGTATACACAGTGTTTTCACCACGACTCAAATGAGTGCTATTGTTGAGGGGATATTGAGTTTCTCAGCATTAGTAATTACTTGAAAGCCTGCTACCGAAATAACCACGAGATAAGATGTCGTGTAAGATGGAAATGAAGACTGCTTTACACAAAATACACATTTGTTTATATCTACAATTTTAACTTTTGAAAAAAACCAGCTGAATTATTAAAATCTCAAGCAGTATCAGACATATTTACCCAGTAGCCATGTCATTTCTTCAGGTTTTTTTTGTCCCACAAAGCCAGCACCAAACAAAAACCTTCTCTTCCTTCTCATGCTGCTCATATCCTCGTTGAACCCCTGGAGGGTGGCTCACACACTGATCAATGGTCCTTTTTGTAGCACCCTCCTTGTTGTTTGTCTCAGAGCCACAGGAAAGCCAGACGTGAGAAAGCCATCTAATGTGCTATTAATGTTTAATCCTCTTTTTGTGGGAGTCTGGCTTCGGTCTCTTCCCTTATCTGTGCATACCGCCAGAAGATCACAGATGCTTTCAATTTCTAGTTAACATGTTAATCCTTTGATGCTCTCTGATATTTAAAGCTTGGCCCATTTAAACTAAACTCCAGTTTCTTAAATAATGAATCAGAGCTAAAAATTGGGTGTGGGTTTACATCTAATCACTTTCTAAATGACTAAAGGAGTTAAATGCTTCTGTTATCAAAGACCAGAGTAAAAGGCTTCAGTCCTCCCTCGACACGGTTCACTTTTTACCCGTGTGATCCGCCATTGCTTTTATGAGCGATCATCACCGTTTGGGGGGTAATATGAGGCTGCAATACTAATCACAGACAGAAAAATCTGTGTAGTCATTCTTTTGCTTGATCATTTACTGGATCATCTTCTCACGAAGCAGAAGAAAAAATAAACACAAATCTGTGCATGCACAAAACACACACACACACACTCAAGAGTGTGAGAAAACTGGGAAATAAAAAAGTGAGTCAGAATGAGTCACAGCCTAACTCAACTAAAATCACTCTTTTCCTGAAAGGCAGGTAATGGGCAAGGTCTTCAAAGAGAGGAGAGCACTAAGAGAGGGGTTTTGGGCTAAATGCAGGCAGACATAAAAGATGTGGCAGCATGGCTGCACTAAAACTTACCATGCATGATTCATTGTGCTGCTGCAAATGAACCATTACAAACACACACACACACACACACATAACAGGAGCATATTGTGGGAACAACAAAATATTCACAAACTTCGGCATTTCTGACAACTGAAAGCAGCTTCTCTAAAGCCTTAAATGAGGACAGCTTCATTTCCACTTGCTTTCAAGGCAGGTGACAGACAGGTATTACTGTGACACTGACAGTGGGCCACAAATCCTTTCAATTGGTATCTTCAGACCTTTTGTCCAACAGTCTATTAAGTCCATTAGCTTACTGTGTGGGAGATTAGCCTGAGTGGATAATGTGACAAATTTGATAAATGGGAAACTGTACTGTGTCCCCCCCCCTCATGATAGCCACAGAAGACATACAAATTAAACGCATGCCATTTTTGGAAATGTAACGCTGATGTGAAATTGTATTTATCTAAAGACTGAAGAAGAAGTCATTTGAGAGAAATGAAATATGTCTTGGCGTGACTGATTTCTTGGTCACTCTTTTAATGAGGCAGCTCTGACAGGCTGAGCTACTGCCAACGCTGCCTTTTCAACTGCCAAGCACCACTCTAAGTAAGAGTTTATGTTGAAAGCATTCCCTGACTTCGTCACAATGTAGCAGGCTACACATGTTCAACTCATCTCTAATTTAACAACCGTGCTGGTGAAATACTCGTGAGCTATTTTAAGCTTAAAAAAAACACACACAGGGATGGATTTTGGACTTCTTTGTTCGCGTTTAAAAAGGTGGAGAGACATCTTATAATTCTGAACAAAAAGTATTCTGAGCAGAAGAGCATTTGTATTGTAAGCCAAATAAAGGTTTGCCACATTATGGACCCTTTTTTCAACACTTTTTACACACACACGCACACAAAAATAACATGTTTATTTACACTTATGCATTAACTCTGCAAGGTTCAGTTTCCAAAGACGGATAAAGGACTTAAAGAATCTGTGAAATATCTGTGAATTTTGTACACTAGATAAAAGATTTAAAAAAAATACTAAGGTTTAAAAAAAAAAAAAAATGCTTCTGTGGATGTTTTATACTCAGCCTGATCTCTTGATATGTCTGTGTTTCTCTATTTTCAGTTGGCCGTTTGTCTTTGTTTATTTTTTTTAGGTTTTTCTTTGGTGGGTCGGGTGGGTTGGTTATCGGGAACCAAGGGATGGACTTTTAGTACTTGCAATGATATGTGTCATAAAGGTTTAAAAACAGAGAACGCTTAACATAGTGTACTACATAAAAGAAAAGTTGTTATATTTGCATGACTCCCTGTATTTTTTTGAGAGACAAAAATATATTGTTGTGTACAATGAGTGGACGTACATTGAAAACAAAAACTGTAGGGGCTGAAATACAGTTGTGTCAAGTACCTTTGATTTTAACATTTAGGTTTTAGCTGTTTTTTTTATTCTCTGTGACGTTTTCTATTTACATTCTTACCCATTGGTTTTCATTTGGGGTACTTGTATGATGTACTGACACTGCAGTTACCATTACTACTCTTTTTTGCCACAGGCTGTTGGAGTGTGCAGCACAAAAATGTCTGAGGCTAGTGGGTGTTTACATCCATCTGTTATGAGAAAACTGCACTCTGTTCTTCGTGGTTGCAACGATTATTTTCCATGGCAGACATGCAAAGCTATCTTCTTTGGCTTGAGGCGCGGCCCTGTCACAGTTCGTGGTTGTATCTTTAACTCAGCCGCCTCCTCTGTGGAAAAGAAAAAAAAGGAAAAAAGTTTTTACATAATATGTGACAATATATGTTCAAAGAAGAGTGAGTGACGCAAGCGCACACACACACACTGCAGATTGTCTAATGGTTTTTAACATAATCCCAATCGGAAGTCACTGGCAAATCAATGCAGCATCAGCAGCTTCTCCCTCAGCCTCAGCCCACTCGCTGTGAGCTAAATCAGTGACTCTTCTGCTCTCACTGCCTGCTGGTTTCCTAACTTGTTAATTTAATTCATCTTACATCCAGCCAGTTGTAAATCAGTCTTTTATCATTTTTATTATGCACTGTATTATACACTCTGTCTTCTGCTGAATAGCTTTTTGTGTGCACAGAAAAGACTGCAACTCGACTTGATTAAAAAAGACTAGATAGCTGCGCCGCTGTAGAAACTAAGACAATATGTCACGTCTAAATGGGAAGTCCTTATAAACATGAATATAGTCTGTACAGGAGCGTTTCAAAAAACATCTGATATGCATCTGTTTTTAGAAGAAAAAAGTGAAGTATAATTGGTTCTAGTAGAGCCTTTAAAGTGTCAGGAGCCCGTCATTCTCATCAATGTTAATGTTTTCTGTGCGCACAGATAGCAGATAGCTGGGCATCCATTGCTATTCCGAACACACAGTCCGGTGCTGGGGTATACTCGGCAAGTCAGAATGATTGGCCTTGTCAGTGGCAGAGATTGAAAACTCAGCGGCCCCCAAAAAATGTCTGTCAGTTGACAGAGAGAAGGCAGGGGAGAGAGGGTTCGTCCTCGACTCTTTGAGGAAATTAAATGTCTCTGGGTTGATTGGTTCAAACGTTAACAGTGTCTTGGCCTTGCAGCAAGAAAAGTACACATGATGCAGAAACAGTTACTTTTAAATGATGCAGAACTAAATCCAACTAATATTCAGTAAGGATTAGGGATATAAACCTGCTCAGTCAGTATTGATTTGACTTCTACTGAGCTCTAATTCCTTTGAGTTTAGGGATACAATTGCCCAATCTGACATCCCACAAAGCTACAATATGCAATGGGTTTCAGCGGCAGAACCGTTGCATTCCTTTTGCTGTAGTCTCATATTTTACATTCCTTTTAGTGGCATATTCTCTACCTTTTGCAAAAGCATGTTTTTTTTATTCATTTTTCCAACACTCACGAGGAACTGTGAGAAGAGGCGTTTCACTGTTTTACAGGTTGTATCAGCTGAAATGAGCTTTAAATACTATAAATAACCCCTTAAAAAGTTACAGCACAACCATCTAATATACGGTGTGTAATCACTGAAGTGTGAAAGTAGAGCCACCATCTGAGTGACCCCTACAAGGCCAAGATCAATATCATGTAATTTTAGTTCCTATCCTGCCATTTATGTCACATTTGTGTCAGTATAGGGATCTTGCCAAGTTGACATGGTCAAAAGTCTTCTATTGGAATCTAATGTGACTCTCCCCTCTGGTTTCAACTCTACTCACTGGTGTTTAGTGACCAAAAGGGAAAGACCAAAACAAAGGTTTGGATAATGGGAACAATTCTTGGCTTTTTTTCTTTCTTTAATTATCTGTTGCTGATATTGACATTTTTTTCCCTTTGCGATTTCTGTACAAAAGATCTATTTCTATATTTGCAATAAATTTGTAATTAAAAATGAAAAACGTGTACAAAGTCTCTTTGATTCACTGGAATTTTATTTTAATTTGTATTATAAAGTTGTCACTCGGGATTCACTAATTTGTTAAGATATGCGTGTGGTGTGTACGACTACATACTGTATTTATACTTTATGAACACAATTAAAATATTCATGCACTGAGGGCTGCAAAGCACCTGGACTGTCTATTGTGAGAGATTGTGGGATTTCCCGTACCAACACACACACACACACCACTGGCCACTTGTTCTCTCCATTAAAGCCTCTCAGTGTTTTGAGGGCCCTGCTACACAGGCACAGATGGGTACTCAAAGAGGGTGGGAAAAAAAAAGCTCAACTTGATGACTCATGAAAATGACAAACACGTCCACCTCAGTCGCGGTTCTGTAGAGACTCGGATGTTTAAGTCTAGTGTGAGCAAACGCTTTGCTGAACATTCAAATTTAATGAGTAGGATGACAGAGAACAACCAGGGAGCTTTCAGAACCTGAAGGCAGAGAGGGTCGTGGGATCTGCTGGTGTTGCATTCAAAGTGCTGGTTGGACACGCTTTGACTACAGAAGAATCATCGGGATTTACTCATCTTATCACGCACCGTGGTTGTAAAATTTGATGTGCAAAGGCTGACAGAAAACATAACATTCTAAATCAGGCAGATACTTAAACTATAGACTGATTATCTTTAAGGACTATAAAGAGATGCTTTGGATTGGAATTTCAATTGAAAATGACACCCATGATGACTATACTATACCATACATTTAGCTCTCATATTTTACCAAAATGATAAGGGATAATGAGGACGGTAAAACAACCCTGCTTTGTGGGAGATTATAAATCTGTGCTATGGTGCCCCCACCTTCAGTTTAGTAAAAAAGGACTTGTAGGGAGATGTGCATGATTCAGTGGTGACCCATTGCTTTGTGCTCGACAGTCTATCAAGTATGTTGCAGACTGTGGCATCAGCTCCCCTGAACTCCACAACTCGGGATGGAGAGCACGATGGAACGGGAGGGAACGGAGGTTCGCTCTCGGTGCGCCTGTTACACGAGGTTGTTACATGTTGTGGTCATGTTTGTGTGTCATGAGAGAGAGTGTAGTCATTTGACTTTGACCCATTTACACTGAAAACTGGGGTGAAAAATAACAGTAGTATGCTGTTATAACTCTAGGTCTATGATCGGAGGACCCTTTGGATCACGCTGCTACTGCTCTAAAGTCGATGATAACTTTGATGGGGGCAGCTATACCCTGAATCAGTCAATGTGGACCATAAGCCCTCCCGCCGTGTGACTGTTACGTTCAGCTTTATTCTGCTTTGTACTCTGGCCTCAATACAGTTTCTAATGAGAAACGTGGTTTAGCTATCTGCTAACGTTGGAAAACTTTGTGTGACTAAAAAACATTTTGCCATAAGAGATCATCCTTTTGTCTCAACAAGGACTGTCTGAGCCAGCAGGAGGCTGTCTGCCCCAATGTTGTAACCTGACGAAGTTCAAATGATTAAAAATGAATGTACCATCATGACAGCTGGGTTTCTATCCATTTTATCTGAAATATTTAGTGTGTAACTAAAAAAAGATAAAAGTGCCTCTGAAGAAAACACAAAAAAAAGTTTTTGAGGCATCGGTGTTAGATAGATTTAAGTTTGGCAGGATGAGTCCAATAAAATAAAACTCACTGTGTGTCAAATATCCCTGGATATCTGTCTCTCTCTACTTTTGACTGCATGACATCATTCATCATTCATCATATTTTCCTTTTGTATCTTATTTCTCTCTCTCACTATGGTTTTGCTCTGTCCATCTCAAAAAACACACACACACCAACATCCTCTTCTTTTTATTGTTGCCTCAACCTCCCTGCTGAGAGTTCTGTAAACCAAACTGAGCAGCTATAGAAATATTCCACATTTCCAAATATCTATAACTCCCAACCCTCCATGTTAAGCTCTTTATCGCCTGAGGATTAGGGGGCTGGATTAACCCTTGACTATCCTTTCTGCGTTTTACACTAACAGTTAATCCTGCCTGCTATTTATGTGTGCCCTTTCACGCCCACACCTCTTATTGTGTTACTACATTGTGTGTGTGTGTGTGTGTGTGTGTGTGTGTGTGTTTGTGTGCATATAAAAAGAGACAGACACAAAGGAAGTCAAACACATGAAAGAGCAGATGATCAAAGTACTATGCAGTAAAGAAAAGGAGAACAGAGTTGACCTCCAAAATTCTGTGGGAACTCCACAACTTTTATTGACCAGAGAGTGTGAGACTTACTATAATCTCCCTTTGACGTCACACACACACACACACACGCACACACACACACACTGCTGGGAGAAAATGACTGTAACCCCCTCAATGCAGGAATTCAATGTTCAAAAGAATATGATCATCAGAATGTGATGAATCAAAAGTGATCAAAGTTAAGAGGATGAACAGAAATATGTGTGTGTGTGTGTGTGTGTGTGTGTGTGTGTGTGTGTGTGTGTGTCAGCACATGCATGAGTGTGTGACAGTATGTGTCAGAATGTAATTATAGTATCTTGAGTCCTGTGACATTCATCTTCGTTTGAGACTGTGAGTTATTAGTCTGTTTTAATTGGGGCTATTTAAACCCACCGAGCTTTAATCAGCATGAATGTTATGGGGTTGAATGTCAATTAAGTTCAACCTATTAAAGATAAACTCTTATTTCTTTATTAAGGGGGGGTTTATTGGGAATAAGTGATGTAACCCAGCTGTACTGTATATATGCACAGCAGTTTTCAACTTCTTTCCAGCCTGACAATGTCTTACGCTGACCAAACAAATGTAGAAAGTATTTTCTCCTTTTCTTTAACTCTGTTCACTGTGGCCGTCACACAGCAGCGGTAACTTCATTAATAAATATTTAAATCTTCAAATGTGGCACTGTGATCGTACCGTTACCTGCATGCTCTTCTGCACAGTAAACCACTGTTGTGCACAGCATCCAAGTTTATTCAAGAATAGAGAGAACAAAGCGGCTGTGTTCCATCAAAGCTGCCTATACATTTTTATCTTCAGCAAGTTTTTTCCCCTGGTTGAATCACTATATTTTGTTTTGGCGTACCAACTTCATTATCAATACAAGGAGTTTTCATTTTTGCTGCTGAAATGCAATATTGTTTGCAGTAGTGGCATCCCTGCAAGCATTGAACGTATTAAATCAATTTGAAATAAGGCAACAATGGCAGGCCTAATAATGAAAACACAATTTATTGGACTAAACCACACAAGTTACTGTAGATACTGTAGTTGCCTCAGTGTAAAGAATGGAATTTCAGTGTTTTCTGAACTCAACACCAGTTTAGCAAAGTTATCTACTGTCAGTGTATTTGCATATACGCCTATAATATATAGACTTTTATTGGGTTTTTTTTAGACTTCACTGCTTCACGGAGGTGATCTTTTTCCCCCTTTCATTTAATTTAAAAGGTTGCTTCCCCCAAATTACCTGTCACAGCTCTGTCACTTCTATCCACCTTTCACTCACCTAATTAGTTCATTCAGTGCACCTGCCAGTCACACTCACCTCATCAGCTCATCACTCTCACCTGCTCACTCTGCCTCTTCACTATTTAAACCCCTGCCTCAGACACACTCACTGCCAGATCGTTCTTTGTATTCATGCTCAACTTTCCCGCACTCACCCATGGAGGCTCACAGGCAGACTCACAGGCTCACAGGCAGACTCACAGGCAGGGTCGGCAACAGGGAATCACCCTGTTGCCGACCCTGCCTGTCCCGGACTACCTCGCCTTGCCTCTGCCCTGGTAACTTACTCAGCCCTTCTGTCCTTGACCACGAGAAACCTGTCGGATTCTTCCAGAGAATCTTCTGCCTGTCGTGTGTTGCAAATAAAGAACTCAAATCATACCAGTCCTGGTGTTGTCGTACTGCTCCTGGGTCCTAACTACACCCGTTACATTACCAATAAATAAATAAACATAATGAAATGAAAATTCTCGCTTCTCCCTGGTGGGCATTTAAAAAAAGTCATTTAGAGAATTCCACAGTATAGCATCTCTTACAAATAGTGTGATTGTCTACAGTTCTTCCTACTGAATGAATAGCTGGTCCATGTGAACCACCAACATGCACCCAACCCCCCAACCTCAGGGTCAAGGGCACCCCCTCCTCACAAATCTCTATTCAATCCCAAACAAGTTAATTTACCACTAAATTACTCAAAATACTACTACAAGACTTTCACTCCAATCTTCAATCAAAACTAAGTTTTTAATGTTCAGCTGGAATTACAGGAAACCTTCACCCAAACAATTGTAAATGTGTAACAATTTCTAAATATTAATCTCTGTGTCTGCTGGAACTCTTGTGAAGTTTGCCAATAGTCACACAGAAACAAGCGAGCTCAAGCTGTTTTATGTCAGCCTTCCACAAACTTACAGAAGTGACTGTGAGATGTGGATTTTTAAAAAAAGCCAAAATTGAAAACTATCTGCTCTGAAACTAGAAAGCTGCAGGGGGTCCACAAGTCTGGAAGTTGAAGATTGGATGTTGTTTCTTACTGGAGGTAATATGAGGTTTGAAATAAAGATGGAGCTCTGAATGACAGTAACAATCATTGAATGTAATGACTTTCATATAACAACAGCAAATCAATACTGAATGCAGAATAGTAAGTGCGCTCATAAGCTATACAACACTGCATATGTCCAGAAGAAGAGACACATAATGTTTGTATTTGGGCTGTATAAATATCAATTATATAAATCTTTGTATGAATGATGTTTGAATTGAAGGTGCATTATAAGAGACATGAGGAAGAGGACTGCTTACAACCATGGCTACATTAAGAGTTCTCTCTGTGAATACCATCCTACTGCTTCTGAAGGTTGTATGCATTGCACATGTAAACAAGGCATAAGGTGTATGCACCAAAAAAATAAGCCAAAAAGCCAAAAGACCTATTAATAACTCATTGTATCCATTGCTCTTTCCCTGCAGAACTTCTCTCTAT